AACTCCACCTCTGTATTGGCGTGTGAGTTTACACCTCCAAATACACCACAGCTGAACCTACGAAGTGTCATCGAAAAGAACCTTGGCAGTAGGTCTTCAGGAAACCCTGAGTGCTGCCGTTGAAAGGTACCCGACGCATCCATGATCCGTAATTTCTACCAGAAGCAACCATACTTACCTTCTTCTAGCTGCGCTATCGCAAGATACGGGGCATTGTTAATAACGCATTCAAAACCACGTAAAACGTCTCCTTCGTTAAAAACGAGTCTAGCCTTATGGTTGAGCAGGGGAGGAGAGCCCAGGGTGCGCTAGCGATTTTTTTTCCTGTGAAATTCCTGCACACTAGGCTTAATCCTAGAGAATGCCCCCACATTGTGCGATAGCGCCTTTCTAACTATTCTATGTTGTAAAAGGGGCAAGTTGACTACGATTATTTTATGAGAACTTGATTTTTATGCCGTAATTACTTCGACACCATTTTCGCCCTGTATTTTGGTCAATCTCTCTAATCCTTATATACTGTAGCGATCGAAGTTGTTCGTTGAAACAATTTTTTATGCATTATAATTTTTTTCGAAAAAAGTCCCGAAGTTTTCCTGTAGTTTCTTTTTTCAGATGTGCTGAATTCTTTAACCAAGGATTCAAAAGGACCAAGGCAGACATTTTCTGACTTTTTCCCTGACAGAAGAATGAATGCAGCTCCAGCTGATGCCGTTTGTGCTGATAGAACCCAGCTTCGAGCAATGTTTTTAGTCGAGGTTTGCAAAGCTCCAGTGAAGTACAGTAAACTGATAATGATCTTTATATAATTTAAAATGCATATATCAGTGTGATTTTGGTGATGTTACCCGTCTAGGAGAAGGTGAACAGAATGTTCACAGGGGAACCGAGGAGCAAATTGAAGTATTAGAGATGAGGTACGGCAGTAGAAGAACCTGAGCGAATGCGAACATGAATGAAAATGCAAAGAAAAGAGATCACAACAAGGAAGTCCACTTGGCTATTCATCAATAGAGAAATGCTGAAATTTCTGCAGAGAATCTCAGAGAACAGTCGCCGTCGGTCATGCCGTCGTCGTCGGCGGTAACGTCGGCGGTGATGACGGTCCTTCTTTTGACGAATCACACTGATTGATTGACGCACTGTCCACAAGGACATCGTGTAATTCATTCGCCGTCTGCTCATCTACCGTATCCACTTTCGACCAAGACGACGATGATGGATCGATCAGCTGAAAAGGCACAGAAATTGATTCAGACAAAGTAAGTGAACCTGTTGGAAAGCTTACCAAACTGGGTACTTCATCATGCTGCATTTTCCCATAGCCAGAATCCACCATGTCAGATCTAAAAGTAGGTGTATACAGAACGTCAGTACAGAAGCCAGCGCAGAAGTCCATCATTAGGAGCAGATAGCTCCCACATTAACACCGAAGCACAAAAGCTGAGTTGGAATGAAATGGTGCCCCGGTAGCGTAACTGGTAGCGCACTTGCCCGGAAAGCGAGAGGTGCGGGTCTAGTCCCGCCTGGGGCGGAAGTTTTGTTCACAACCCAGCATTCTTGTGAAACATAATAACTTCGTATAGTGAACGAATGCTGCTAGAGCGTCTATGTGACAACTTTAAGCGGGTCGACTTCGAATTGGAGTCGATGACAGGCTTCAGATTTTGGTCCGTGTACTCGATAGCAACTCCGCGATTCCCAACTGCGAATCGTGGTGACATATTCTGCCACCGCCCCTTAGCCTACTCAGGATAACCACCAACTACAGAAGGATACCCACACCTCATACGAAATTTATGCCTGCCTGCGCGCTGTCTTCATAGGACTCACGGTTTTCATAAACCTATCAGGCTTATCCAAGAGGGTCGGAACCGTTCCGAGGCAATCCCCTTCTTATTCTCCGACTTTCATACACGGTTCGTTTGACGGAGACCTTCATCAGTCGGCCTGTCAACCGGGGCCTGACGCAGGTATCAAAGCCATTTTGCAACTTCTGCATGCCATGCTTTTAAGCCTAGGCAAAGATCGAACTCGCGGTTTTCCGGAGGTTGATAAGAGTAACACTCTAACCAACTTGTCATCCCAGCCCACTCACCACCATCTCAAATACCTCTTTCCATGCATTCATTGAGGGAAGCTTGAATCTCGAAAAGAGGTATAACGGCCATTGCAGAGACATCGGAGTGGGCTCCCTAGCAGACCAAATGTAGGTCTGACCAAATCGAAAGGAGGAGGCTATATTCAGAGATTTCTGGGAGGGAGCCAAAATGAAAAAAAAATTGATCTTGTAATACTGTCTGTTTGAACAGCTATACGGCAGAATTAAGTGTACGCAGTTTCATGACCACCACCGTGAAGTTATATTGCACATCGGTTGGTCTTCAGAAGTGAGGAGGATTTATAGGCCAAATGGGCATTTTGAATATACTACGATTCCCATCCAAAAACAGTGATCACGACGGCTCAACGATCATTGAACCTCATTGGTGCGCTAGACCCCTCATCGCGCTGGGGGTGTGCCTGAGACCGCCTCCGAACGTTCCTCCACCAATGGCGCTCAATGACGTCATCAGAAGCCCACCATCCTCCAGCCATCGTGATCACTGCGTTTGAAGACAAATGAGCTGTATCCTAGAATGAATTGATCAACCCCGATTAGCTCATCGGTGATTTCACCTTCTTCGGAATTTCCGCTCAAAGACGGAAGTTCTTCGGTGCAAAACATTTTGCACGACAGATAAATCGGTTCTCTGCACAAGCTCGAAAAAACTTGCACGGTTCACGTGAACGTTTCCAGTGCGAGGCGCTTCCTTCTCCCTCTCGACCTGCTGACCTTTGGCATTGGTGCAAAATAAGATGAAGAAAATTGAGGTCATTTCTCCCTTTTGCTAAGGTTTTGGTACCAGTTGACCCACTCTCGGAAATGCCAACTTTATACAGAACTCTCGATCAACCTAATCAATGAATTCAATCATACCGGCTTGAAATTGAGTGATCATCGAAGTCGGAAGGCATCAAACCGCACACCGTACGAACTCGCTCGAAGACCTCATCCGTCGTGGGAGGAGGATCGGCTTTTTCTCTGAAAATAATACCGCAGTCCAACTATGCTTTAGCAGCCCTGATGACCAATTTTGAGCTGAGGCAGGACTGACTGAGTGGAGCACTCAGTAACGGTGAAAATGTAGTTTGGGGGGGGCACTCATAATATCTAATCGAACTGGCAATATCTAATCGAAGTGGAGCTGCGGAAGGGCGGTCATATCTAATCAACATCCAGAGCACAGTCTCTGAGTGTATGATTAGATAGGGATACCAACCCATGATTCCATACAAAATCGGATACCTGGAAGGCCCTCCCTTCGAGGGCTTGCATGGTGGAAATGAAGCGTCAGCAAGGTAGCAGCATTTTCGCCATAGAAATACGACAATGGTAGCAAGTGCGACGTACTGGTCGTAGGCCACTGTCGCAGCGAAAGATATGATGGTGTTTTGATCCAGATATGTATAAATTATACTTCCACTTGCTTCAATCTTCGATAAGCATGGGAGCGCCCCCCCCCCCCAAACGCACATTTTTACCCTGCAGAACTATCACTTTTGAAAATCGAACATTCTTCTGACACAACTGTCAACTCTAAGGTATTGCCACGTAGTTGAATCCTTAAACTTGAGCATTGATGGTGCCTTCCCTGCTCTCGATTTGTGACGAACGGCGGCAATCGGAGCGGATGTGAGGTCTTGCAAGCACTACGTGCAAGTGTATTGTCATTTCGGAATATATAGCCTCATTCTAAATACACCAAATGCGGAAATTTTTATTACAAAAATTTATTAGGATCGGAACGGTAGTCTGCCAGTATCCGGAACGTGTCGAGTATTCAATAGAGCACGAGCGCTGAACGCTCGTGCTGAATAGAACCTTGACAGCATCTACTCAAAGGAATTTCACCAGTGCACGAAACCTGATGGTCATAAAATACTGATCGTTCAAAACTGAAAGTGGCACACGCAAGATAAAATCCAGGCTAACCTAGAGCGGTATCCAAACCCAACATGAATGACCAATCATTTTCCCGTTGATTTCCGCATTGATGCGGCTCTCATTGGTGCTGTCCTCTTCAACGTTAACACTCTCTTCAAAGGATTGCGTCAGACGGGAAGAGGGTAGGCGCCGTGGCGCAAGCAGCGTGGGTATGGCCCAGTAAGGTCGCTAAGGGCATTCTCGTCGCTGCGAATCGCGTGTCGCAGCCCTCGTAGTCCCCCCCCCCCCATTTTCTGCCTTTTCCTTTTCCCGATCGCCTTCCTTACCAGGAAGGTCTTTCAGGGCGTGACGAGCTTTTTGAAAACGGTCTTTTGCATGATATAGGGGCAGATGCGGGGACCACAGAACCATGTTTAATTTTTCCTGAACGGCCCTCTGAATACCAGAAAAGGGGTCCCTAGTTCGATTCCTCTTGGTGACAAATTTTTGCATTTCGAGTTGACGTTCCAAAATTCGCGCAAAATGGAGTTCTGATTGTTCTGGTTGGTTCTAACTCCATTTTGCGCGAATTTTGGCACGTCAACTCGAAATGCAAAAATTTGTTACCACGAGGAATCGAACTAGGGACCTCCTTTTCTGGTATTCAGAGGGCCGTTCAGGAAAAATTGAACATGGTTCTGTGGTTCCCGCATCTGCCCCTATATCATGCAAAAGACCGTTTTCAAAAAGCTTGTCACGCCCTGAAAGACCTTCCTGGTAAGACTAATCCCCCGGAATCATCCTTAAATGAAGCATATCAATCCACAAACCCATTCTACCATATTAACCCATTCGCGACCGCGCCGGTTTGCGCATTAGCAGGAGAGTCAGGAGATTTTTCTTCAATAAAATTTGAGTGGATGGAGATTCCCCGTGCCCAAGTCTGGCATAGATGAATGAGGGTATGAAGATTCTTTTCAGGAAAGAAAACTTTCCAAATTCCATTTGAAACACGGCAGCCACCGGTGGATACCATTGTACAAGGAGATCTTTGTCAGCCACCGGTGGCTGCCATTGTCACGAATGGGGTTAATTCGTAAGTGGATCAGTATTCCCTGCTTAATAATTACGGGAGCGATAGTCCAATTGGGCACTTTGGAATTGTAAAATAATATTTTCTGAATTTGTGGGAAGCTGTCTCATAGGCGAAAAGGGTCTGTATCTCTTTGATCTCAACCGTTATTTGTCCCTCGTTTTTCAGAGTCTTTCGCCTAGGTACATGCACACTATCCTCCGCACCGTAACCTGTTTTAAGTGTTTAATACCATCAGACAAGCTCTAGAAAAAGTAGTATGGATGGATTTTCCGAGGATTTGATTTCGTGTCTTTCTTTCCGTCTTTCTTCACTAGTAGCGGTCATCATCACATTGCCAAACCTTTCAGAGTTGGAGCTTAGCAGTGAAGGAATGTTCTTGGTTAATCGCTTAAATCAGATTTAAGTAGTAGCTTTGATGATGATGCAACATCATTATTCAAGCCCCAATCTCTCATATCCCGTGTTGTGTTCTTAGCCAACAGCACGATCCGCGAATATACCGCTAATTTTACCAGCTTTCACAGGGTATTTGTCAGGTGGGGCCAAGGTTCTCGACGCGGGCAAGTTTCGATGTCAATATTTTGTGATACTCCAGAACTCAAAAAACCCTGGTAAGATCGGAGGGCGGTCGCATTACTGCTACTACTACTTAAGTTGAAAGCAGGAGTTAAGGTGCTGTTCAGTGATAGAGCGAAGACCTAAAAATGCTTCGTCACAGAAGAAAGCGCGTGCTTGTCCGTTCTTTTCTGCAAAAATGATAACCACTCTTACCTATAAGGTTCGAGAGCACGCTTCTCTCGTTATCCGTTAGGTCATTCACTTGTCAGTATCACATGATCATTTTAGATCAGATAAGTGAGTTTATATCCAACTCCCCCATTGTGTATAAATACTGTGGCTTAGGCCCCAAGAAATTATTGTCGCAATAAACTTTCTGTCTAGGAATCTAATTTGTAAAGAAATGCCAATAAATCCAAAAGATGAACAGAAGCCATATACTGGATTTTTCGGACCGTGACATATCTAGACACAACTTCAATTGGGCCTACAGGAATCTCCTAATTTGCATTTATCGACATCTCTGCTTTTCCAAATTTAGTCCTGGAGAATCATCTCTTTATCTCGCCTGCTGCCTAGCTGGTTCACTTAACAATGTTTTGTGTTCCCTAGTTTTACTGATGTTAAGATGTGAACTTAATGTAGCGCACCTAAGCGTGCAATAAATAAATAAATAAAATATATCTGGAGAACTTCGGACGTAAATAATCTAGTAACCTTGGTCGGTGTTCTCCTCGGTATCCATCTTGGCTGAATGAGCTTGCTCGGCAGTAATGGTTCGTCGTCTTCCAACTGCAAGAAAACATACATGGCTATGAAAGAAAAACAAGCTTCACAAGAAAATTAAGCAGATTCTTTCTTCCTTTTCTCTCTCTAGAGAAGAGAAAAACTAGCATGGGTAGGAATCATGAGAATGGCACGAACCTTTAAAACAGAAAAGCTGGAATGTTGCCGTGAAACGGCTTGCAAATCAGTCGAAGAGCAGTCGAAACGAAGATCACAGAATGCAGCCGACAACAACGAATCATCATCGAAACCCGGTGATCGGGATTCAGTCCTCGACAGCGAGGTTGAACTACCTGGATAAAAAGGTGTTTTATAACCCTTGTTGGCGTTCTCCTACGAGTGTGCAGTAGTGAACAAAGGGAAAAAAGCATTGTCTGGGTCAAAAAACGGGATGCGGGGCACTGCACACAAAAGATCGGCGCGTAGAAAACAAGTCATTGCGCTACATTTGTTCGCTGGTTGCCCTAGCATACTGTAGCGTCGGAATTATTGGTCGGCGCGTGCGCAACGTCGCCACTGCTCCCGATTTCTTTTTTGGGCTGAAACCGGTGCATGCACTTGAAGTCACTAGCAACTTGCAGTCGAACCCTGAACTCATTCCAAAGATAGACAAATGCTTGGGGCTAAACGTGGTTTCAACAAGCGACCTTTGAAACTGATCACGATTCCACAGCGTATTTCACAAATATTATACCAAATTTATGTGCCATTTCACTTCATAATTGGCTTTTTTTCAGTACCTGACGTATCATAATTCTATTCATTTATTCTGGAGAACCTGCCCGATTTCATGGCTATCGTTCGATTTACAGCTCATGGCGCGTCCAGCCCTCAATGGAAGTGAGTGAGGCCTGACATTCTATAAGGAGCAGCGCTTGTCTTGAATTCCGATCACTTTGAATTCCGGGAAAACTGTGGAAAGCGAATTTGTCGCAATGCCCTAGCACAGCGAGTACGATCAGAACGCCGACACATTTGGTATACCCATACAAAAGCGATCAGACTGATGA